AGCCCTTTGAGTAAGAATAAAAAAATGAATTTTATTTATAAGAAATAATCAGATTAAACCCATAAATACAACAACAAAAATAAGGATGCACCAACATTTTTTTTAATTTTTATACGAGATGCACTAACATTTTGTGGATCAAAGAATGTTGAATTTCAGAGTATAAAATTGCTTGTTCAAAGCAGAAGCTTCCTAAATATAAAATATTCAATCTCATTTCCAACCATTACAATTGTCCATCAAATTGAAACATGCAATCTCAGTCAGGCAGTAATATTCACACAATATAATGGAAAATTTAGTCAGGATATATTTGTAATGGTCATCCAAATACCCTATAGAGATAACCCATTAAAAAAATAAAAAATAATACGGACTTCATGCTATTAATACATTAGCTACTGGGCCTTTTGGCAATGACATTATTAGACTTAATTCTGTCACGTCGGAAAGGCTATAATGAGAGCTTAAAGTGAGGAGGTTATTTGAGGAAGTCAAATTTCACCATCAACAAATGTAAAGAAATCATGAGACTTAAATATTTTAAATGTTTTGACGGTCGGATCGGTCTCCTCACTTTAACTCCTCATTGTAGAAGCTCAATCTGTCACGTTAAGCTCCCCTTTTGTTTACATCTCTTCCATTTTGGGCTTTTATATCAGTTTCAGGCCCAAAACCAAATAAAGCGTGATTTTATTTCTAGGGACACCCACTAATTCCTTTTGTACACGCAATAATTCCGAAGATTTTCAACTCAATCTGTCTCTCTCTTCTCTCTCTACTCTGTACAATTGAAAAAACAATATTTTGTAGAAAAGGGGCAAATATGTCTTTTTAGCAAAGCACCCACTGAAACCCGAACTTGCTCCCGGCTCCAACATCCGACTCCTAGGGTTCTGACCAATTTTTCCCTAAAAAATTATCGAGAAAAATGGACGGGAAAATGGAAATCTCTCTCGACAAACTTCCCATCAAGCGCTTGGACGTCATCGAAGAAAACGGCCTCGAACGATTTCCTCCGTACGGCTCTTCCTATCCTCATTCTTTACCCTCTTTTCGGTTGATTTTCTTGGCAACCGAACAGGAACTGTGGTTTTATGTATTATTTTCTGTTGGTTTTTTACAGTGATGTAGGTTACGAAGAGAAGCGGCAATCGCTGATTCGGAGAATCGATTTCGCTTGGGCTGTGGAGAAGGACGAGAACAAGAAGCAGAAAAAGAGCTCGAAAGAGAGTGCAGCAACGCAATGGCAATGGCAGAGCATGGTGGAGAACTTGCAGCTGGCACACCAGGAGCTCTCTGTCATTATAGATCTCATCAACACTGTCAGTCTCTTTCGCATACTCATTTGAAGGAGCAAATACTTGTGATTGCAATGAAAGGTGAATGTGGGTTGGGTTTTAAGCTTTCTTTGTTATGGTATGAGCAGGTGGAAACGAATGATGCTGTAACAGTGGCTAGCATGACGCGTCCAAAGCCATTTCATGATGAAGTTATGTCTGATCTTGCTGTATCCGCAGCAACCAAGCTACAATGCTTCCGGGTACCATCTCTTTTTAGTTTTGGTGAAAAATATCTCATTTTGAAATTCGGTTTGTTTTTGTTTTGTAAATCTCTCTTTATGTTGTATTGATTTCTATTACAGCATCTTGGGAAATACTTTAAGCAGTCTGCCAAAGCTTTGGAGCGGCAGGTTGCTAGAGAAGCAAGATTTTATGGTGCTCTAATCAGGTGAGTCTGCAATGTTAATGTATTTCCATTAATTTCTTTTCTAAAAGAAAGTTATCTCCTTTAATTTTTAACCTTTCTGCCTGACTTATTTATATCACCTTAAAAGCTTCAATAAGTCCTGTTGTTTTCTTCATGCATAAAAGAATTTTGTGAACTTGGAATTTGTGATGTTCGTTTGTGTTTTTCTCAACTTACTTTGTTTATGTATGAGTGAAAGAAACTCATTACAGTAGCATTCATATGTTCTTCAACAATATCCTCTATATTGCATCTTGACAAGCGGATAGATTGCAGCAGAACTGGAAAGTTAAGCGGCAGCGTGTGGCAGCTTCAGCTTCTGGAAATGAAGGCTTCACCATTGATCTCTTTGACAGTTCATTATATGATCCAGCTGCTGTATTTCGGCCATCTTCTCTTTCTACAGTTCGTGTTGACCATGACTCAGCTGGCATGCTAGCGATAAATTTACCTCCAAACTCATACCGTTCGCTTCAATTTGGCTTTCTTGGTGCTGATCCGGGTGTTAGTCCAATTGAATCCAGTCAAACCAAAATCCGTTTGTCAAGTGAAGCTGAGAAAGAATCTGTGAGCGACGATGAGTGTGTTAAAGAAACACATTCACTTCTTCGCGAAGTTCATCAAGCAATCTTCGATGAGCAGGCATAATTTATTCTTATTCGTTTTTCCTTATTTATCATTCTTTCACACTTCATTTTAATGTTGTTTTATCCTGCTCTTCTGGTCCAGGTGTTTGATTTGGTAAATCGTGAAGCATTCAACCAGTCTCTAGGAGTCAATGTGACTGGAATACAAGAAAACTATTTACAATTGAACATAGGTCAAGGAACCTCTGTGTTCATATCACTTGTCCCATCTAGAGGTGAACAAACAGTTGACAGTCCAAGCACCCAAAACTTAGAAAATACCATTTTACCTTTGGACACATTGGATGGGTTGGAGTTAGCAGAAGATAAACCGGATAGTGTAAAGAAAACTTCAGTAATTCCTGATCAAATTAGTTGTGAAATATATCTGCAACAGATTTTTCACCAGCATGTATTTGTCAAAGCAAAGGATAGACCCACTTCGGCAGGTGCTCGAGTATCTGGTCAACTGGCCAAAGAAGGGCCTGGTCTTCTTGGTCATTTCTGCATGTCTTTGGCTCATAGGATTTTTTCAAACAAAGTTCTTAAGGAGTTGGAAAATGTGGTAAAGTCCGAAATTATTGTAAGACATCAATTTTGAATTTTATATGCGGTAGAACTTTTCCTCAGTAGTGTTCATGATTCTGTAGGTTAAAGGGGTACCATATCTGCAGTTGTTATCCCACCCCACTTGGCATTCACGGACATCATCCTGGATGCTCTTTGTGAAGATTCCTGAATCTATTCTACATGCATGCCAAACCAGAACGTCAGACATGCGTCACATGAGGAACATTACCAAGTCTCAGTTTCATACTAAGGTGGTTGTAACTGATGATTGCATCAATGTAGAAGGGGAAGGTGCTCCTAATGTTGTTGGCCTGTTCAAAGGGAATTCTGAGGAAATTTGTTCAATGAACAGATACGACTGTGACTTGGCGGATCTTCCTGTGATAATTTTACAGCAGGTATTTCTTATATTTCTAAAGGTACTTTTAAGTGGTATAAATTTAACAAGGACAAAGGTAGTATTGTGAAGCTATCAGATTATTTGCACTGATAATAATGGGTGTGTTTTGATCTCTGTATATTTATATGATTGCATGTGGTACACTACAACTTGTGTGTGATTAAATGATTGTGGACTTTGGCAACAGGTTGCAAGTCAAGTTATTCGCTGGCTTCACGAAGAAGCTCTTATGGTTGGAATAAAGGCAAACAGAGACTTTCTATGTTTGTCTTTTGAGCTGGATCTGGGAGAAACACTCAGCTTGGTGGCACATGTGGACCCAGAAGATGGCGAAGGATGTATCTCATGGTGGTTGGTCATAGATGGTGGTTTTGTAGAGGAACGAAACCTTAGTATGGACGCTTCAGATGGTGCATCAGAATCTAGGAAGTTTTTAGGTCATCTATCCCTGGAAGTTTTATATTCAACACTGATGGACTTGGTTAGCCTGTGCACTAGAAGAGGCAACTGATGACGAACCAGACGCTCTTTGTGCTTTCCAAGAGGAATAGCTTCTGGTGTTTGGTATTAGTCAGCCACATTGTATAACATCATAGTAGTGAAATGTCGTCAGCCGCCCTCACCAACGCTCATGCTTAAGGAAAATGCATGAGCAAAATGAGATTTATTGGCTTGCTTGGCTCAAAATAGCACATTGAAAGGTCTTCTTCGTGTGAAATTCTATCCATATAGTGGCTCATGGAAACGTAGGCGTTTCTTTTTCTTTTCCCATTTATGTACAAATGCCCTTCCCATTCATGTAATAAATTAAATATACAAACCCATTATCAATTGTGGCATGTCCTTTGCCCTCTCAAATGGGTAATTCAGCTTCCATTAACTATTGTAATAAAATATAACCTTGTAGGTGAGTGGGCTGGCAATTACTCTAACGTCACAGATTGGTACCACCCAACAACACAAGTGTTATTTTGTGGCACATAAAAACAACACAACCCTTCCCTTTAGTGCCCACTAAGCAATATCTCTTTGCGCTTTTACTCATCTACTTGGGGAAAGACGAAAGGCAACATTCTCTCCTTTTTCTTTTGGTAGCGTGAGTTGGATGGATAACAACCCAAATGTGCTCTGGAAGCGTGCCAGGCAACGCCAAATCAAAGCCAACAATTGCTTGCCTTCCAAGCAGGCAATGCAAGCAACAAGAAAAGTAGTAAGTCAACTCATTAAGAAGAACCTTGACCTTTTGTGTCTCGGCCAATCACTGCATGCCAAGTTTCAAGAGGCATGACTTTTTTGGCACACAATCTCAGACCCTTAATACCAAAAGGTGAATTAATAAAAATAAACAAAAATAGATGGTCACCTCACTGCTCGCCGTGATTATATATATAAATATAATATACTTGCCAAAAAGAGGGAAAATTACAAATTTTAAAATTAAAAATAACAGTCCCGATCTCTTGGACCACAGGAGTCCAAGAGATTGTGGTCACCCACCGTTGAATATTAATTCAATGGTTTAAAAAAGTTTCTTAACAAGAGTGAGTGAACCGTCCAACGGTGAGTAACCACAAAAAATTTTCTTAATAGGAAGGTTCTTTTTGTTTCCTTTTTTTCCATAGGTTCTTCAAACGTGCACGAAACGAATCATTCCCACACTCCTCTTGTTACAATCCAAAACATTTTCTGTTATACAGATCCCCCTCCTTCCCTCTCTACACCTGCACAGGACTCACATACACACGCTCACACAGAGACAGACCAGACCAGACCAGAATACCAAAAGACTAAAATACCCTTCTCGAGTTCCGTTAGTTATAACCTTGGAGCTCTGCTTTTCTACTTGGACTGGCGCTCGGGATTGACGTCTGCAACCGGAGAAACCGATGAAATTGCCGTGTGGGTTTCGAGGTGAGGTTGAATTCAGAAAGTGGGTTTGAAGAATCCGGAGCGTTGGTTCTTTGTAGCGGAAGTATTTTGGACTTGGGCTCCAGATGGGTTTGTTCTTTTGAAATTCTTGTTGGGTCTTCTTTTCTCCCTTTTTTATATTCAAATTCGAGATGGTTTTGCGAGAGTTTGGGTTTCTCATGAGGGTTCTTTGGATTATCAAGATTTATTGGTGCCTTGGTATTGCTTGCTTTGATAAGCATGGCGACTTCTTTTATTATAGCTGATATTGGATATATGGTGATTGAATACCTGTAGCGCGTTCTTTATTGTATTCAATTTTCATTCACAGATTAGAATAGATATAGAAACACATTGCTGGTCAATATTGATTAGAGGTTAAGAGCAGCACTTTACCACATTCTTTGTAGAATTGAATTCTTCTAGTTGGTTTAGCGATTGGAGTGTTTTGTTCAGATTGTGCGGCTTGAGATTCTTCTAGTTTGTTTAGTCATTTACATTGTTTATCTCCATGTCGGGGGGTACACCAACTGGGGCTGGATATATGAGGCAGAGGCATAGCCAGGGGTATGCATCGAGTGGCGATGATCTTGAGGATGATGCATGTTCGGTTATGCGCACTTCGTCCCCAAGAACTCCGAGAGTTTGGTCACGGATTGAGATTGTAGAGAATGTCCTTTGGCTTGCCTCAGCAGCGTTCATTGTTTACTATGGTGATAGGAAATCCAACTTGATATATCTCTTCTGGCATGATGACCGAATCAGAAGGTATAGATTTTTGCTTGAATTGTTCTCAATTTGCAGCTCGGGTTATTTTGTTCATTCACTTGGTAGAAGGATTATCTTTTAGACAGAAATAATATGTACTAAATATTACTGTTTTATTTTTAAAGTTTTTTATAGGACCAGATACGTTAAGTATGTCATTGTTTGTTTAGTCTGGGGCAGTTGGTAAATGATACTAGAAATACTCATGGACGTTTGGTGGTACAGTTTTCCATTGAATTGACGGAGAATAAACTTTTCTTTGCTGTATTGTTTGTCACTCTAGAAATGTACATTGTTTAGGACACATGTAGTAAATGTCCTTGTTTTGCAGCTTAGTCACATTCCCAGCGATACGCCTCTTCATTTGTGTAATATAGTGGAAAAGTTAGCATGACAACATTGTTTGTTATATTAAATGAAAATGTGGTTTTGATTTAGTGTATAGTCATTCATCCATATGTTTGCTTAAGATTTGGATAATGTGTATGGCAAGCATAACTGTGCTGTTTTGAAAAGTCTTGGGTTTGCAGTGGAGGGAGCAGCAGGCCTTGCCTGCATATATTTAGTAGTTGCTCACGAATTAGATAGTTTATTAACTAATCGGGATTCATTAACGTTTTAAAGTTTGCATTCTTATATATCTTGTAGATTGCCTTTATACCTTGGAACGGTGGGCGTGGTTTTGAACATTATCATCTTCTGTTATACAAGTATGTCCGCATGGAGTGTGAGGAGATTTGATGAAAAATGGGAATTAGCTAGTATATCTGCTCTGCCATTTGTGACACTACTTGGCGTCATCTCCTTTTGCTTGTAAGAGGAACCATACTGCAATTCCATTTACATTCATCAGCTATTATCTTTATGACTGCTGATATCTTTGTTTTTGCAGGTTCTGCTTCGCTTTGTGGCCAATATGGAGTTTCTTGACCCTTCCTCTTCTTGTAAGTCCCAAATTTCCTTTCATTTTGTGATACCTTGTAGGTGTACATATTTCTCTTTTTATTTTGGTGTGGCAACTGTTTAATTACTCTTTGCATTACTGCAGTTCACGCTGTTTATGGCATGCATGGTTATATGTCCATACGTTATAATCGGGATATTTAGGCAACAACATGATGTGCTGCGTACAGATTATGCCGCCTCGGAATTAAGTGAGAAACAATACTGACCTAGATCAAGAGCTTCTAAGCTTCTAACTCAACCATGGATGGTCAGTCACGTCAGAAGAAGATTGAAGTTTTATCTGATGCTTTCCTTGGCTCATTGTGCGAGACTGACCCTTTTTGACAGCAAACAATCTCAATCATACCCCTTTCGGTGGAAGAAAGGATACACACACACTCTTATTGTCTTGCATTCTGTCAGCTTCTCTTTTACATGAGCCTCATTTGGTTGATACACCTGATGGGCACATCCATAGAATTTTCATAACCTGAAGTGGACTGGTTGGGATGTAGGTTTCTATGATCAGATGCCAGCCGGAAATTATTCATGACAGCTTGTTGAACCCTTTGAACAGGATTGATGCTCTTTGTTTCTGGTATATGAATCCATCTTCACTGGGGAGGAGGTTGTGATATGTTTTTTTGGATCAAAGCGGAGGTTGTGATATTGATTTGGCATTACGATATTGAGTTCTTCTCTTTATGTTTCTTTTCTTGTTAAATTACTTCATCTTCTTCTTTTCTCTGTTCTCGTTGTAAATGAGCTATGATTGCACCAGAGTTTCTACATGTTTTCAGCTTTGCTTGAAGGAATTTACCCAAGCTTATATCGTTGATGTTATAATATGATTATTGATGATGCTAACAGCAATTAGATTTAAACAATTGAAAGTCAAAGTAATAGATAATGGGCATCCATGAGCATGCCAGCAAGAGCAAGGAACCCAAATTGTGATCATTAGTATCTACTAGTATAATTTAGACTATGTTTTGATGATTCTGGGTGCTCTTCACGTGCCCTAGTCATTGCTGGTTTCTGCTAGAACTGATGTGGCGACTAATTTTTCCCAAAGGTAGGTAGGACTTAGGAGGAGATAATAATTTTGCCTAGGTAAGATAAGCTGCATGATAAACGGATGTCCAGATAGGGCTTTTTTGTGGTTTTTTCTGGTTTTGTGGTATACCTATGGAATGTGTGTTAGAAAGAAGATGTGAACCCCACAGATATGACTTTCTTTATAAACCCAACAAAGAATGAAAGAACTCCAACCATGCATTGTCCCCCAAGTTGGTAAAAGACATGTTTCAACATCCACCCATCCATCCCCTCAAAAAGGAAAAGTGGTCAGTCTCATCATTCTCAACTCTCAACTTAGTGCTCAGAATAATTGGTCAGTTTGCAGCACATGGAAATTCCAAAAAATAAAAATAAAAAACCTTATAGAACTGTGCAAGATAGTGAAACTCCCAATCCCAATAGATATCTCACATTTTTATTTTTATACAAAGCGATATTAAAGATGGGGAAATCGAACTTAGAATCTCAAATATATGGGTAAATACTCTTAACTAATATAGGATGGAGCAGAAAGTGAGCTCATGCGATCTGCTATTATTTCTCGTAAACGACTTGTTTTTCTAACACGAGATTGAATGAAAGCAAAAGATGGGCTGACTTTTCTGGAAAACGATAAGATTGAAATTTCTTAGGCAGCTGTTTTCGGGCAATCCCACATGGCTTTACATGCTGTGGAGTGAAGAAGGGTTTCAACATATTATACAAGACTGATGCTGTGGAGTGAAGAATGGTTTCAATTTTCCCATCAGTCATTGTTGTTGTTTTTTTCCTCCCTGGCTTCATCAGGTCAAGCAGTTCAGGTAAGATACCAACTAAATATTAATTGAAAAGTCTTATTCTTCCCCATCAGAGAAGAGAGGATGATGAGAGACTTAACTACAAAATAGGACTAACTAATTCAAAATCATCAAACTTTTGGAACTTGTGAAAGAAAGATTGGTTAGTGGGGTGGGGCTTTTTAAATCCACCTCTTGCTTGGATGATTTGGATTATTCCCAATCATGGGATTCAAAACAAAAGGACGTCTGAGCTAATGATCTTGCTTTTTTTGTTTAATTTTTTTTATAAATATAATAACAAGTCAACAAATCAGCCAAGCAAAGCTTAGACAAATCCAGGGTTTATAACTTTCAAAGATTTCTAGGACCAAAGATCCTGTAGATGTAATGGGGTGTGAGATACATAACAGAGACGTGGAAGAAGAAATGTTTTCTGTTTTTTTTTTTGTTTTCTCATGTGGTGTTAGGCAGGCACATATCCCTTCTAGAAATCTCGGAAAGACTCTGTGAATTGGAAATTTCAACAACTATTTTGGGACCTTAATGCTGTCTCCACGACATGTTCTGCACTTTTCTTTTTTCTTTCTGATTGAATGCTAAAAAGTCTTGTCTATGCCAATTAGTATCAGTATAGTATAGTGAGAAATTATAGAATAGTATGGTAATATGATTACGTGATATATTATGAACTGTATTGTTGATTCATATTATAATATGCCGTATCATCGTATTATTCTATAATTTGTACATAAATTTTTATTTATTTTTAAATATGAGTGATATTGAGGAAAAATGAAATTGAACCTAGCAACTCGAGTGCAAGAATAAATACTTTTAATCATTTAAATTACAAATCCCTACATTATACTAGCTTTTATTAGAATTATTAGCCATCATTTTCACGGTTCAAACAAAAATAATTACTTAAAATATTTCCAATTTTCTTACGTGGGAACTGATGTCATTTGATTCCTCTCATTCAACCCTTCTACTGCCCAACATTTCGTCTCTCATCACTTCTCATAATCCAATCACTACTCAGAAAAATGGGAGCACAAATTTAGTAAGCTTGTTATCATAATCCAATCACACTAGGAAAATCATGACCCATTCTGGTCATCACCAAGCAAATGACTTACGAGAGGACCAAAATACCCTTGGTGGAGTGGGGGGCTCATGATAAATTTAGGCGGTGGGTCAACACAACACAACGTAACACATATGCTAGAAAATATTGTGTAATAAATAGCACTTGGCGTTTGGTGGGGTTGTGTTGATTTGTGAGTTGTGGGCCCCTGGGGCACATCATATTTTATTTTTGAATCTTTGTCCATATTCTTCGTCCAAAAAAATAAAAATAAAAACTGAAAATGGTGGAACCAAATACGAGCTTTCGACCCTCGCATTTCCCACTCCCTCTTTCCCCCAGTCTCAAACAAAAGCTAACTTCCAATCTTTGGTTGTGAATTGTTTCTTCAATTTCTTTCACGAAACAACCACCCAATTGTCATCACTCAAAGCCTCTCTCTTTCTGTGATCCTTTTAATGGTTTAGGTTTGCCCTTTTCTCCTTTTCTCTCTCTTGTTGAACACACTCTTGTGCTTGGTAGGTTGTGCCGTTGAGGTGAATGGGCCCTAAACTCCACTGAAGATTAATGGTTATGGGGGTCTCCATCTATTCCTTCAGTGCTCTGTTTGCCTCCTAGTCTTGTGCTGTCTCGCATTTGGTGGTTTTGCGTTTTCTTTCTTTTCATCTTTTATTGAAAAGATGAGATCTTTGGGTTTTTGATTCTTCTCTATGAAGGTCTTGGCGTGTGATTTTCTGGGGCCTTTCAAACTGGGTTTTTGATTTTCGACTGGTCTTGATGATAATGAGGTGAACAATGGCGGGCTTGCGTTGTTTCCGATTGGGGTTAACTCTGGTTCAGGGGTTCTGTGTCTCTACTGGTTTCGGCTTGTGATTCTTAAGCTGATTTTGGTCAACTATGAATTCTACTCAGATGGGCTTTTGACCACTGGAGGTGGATTAAGGACATCTTGAGGTTACTTCGTTTAGGAGATTAATCAAAGATTATTTGCAGTGAAGTTCAAGATTTGGGTAATATTTTGGAGTTGAACTTTAGTTAGGTTCTGATGGCGATGGTTGGTTTCTGATGAGTTAGGCATTGCGTGCTCTTTATGTTCAAATCAGGTCATAATGATTGAGAGATTGGTATTTGATATTTGAGGTGGAGTTTTTGCGGCAAAATCTGGTCTTGGCAAGTCCCTAGTGGAAGAAAAGATGGACAGAAGGATACAGCCTCCGCTGGTAAGTTTATTTTTCAACTACTCTGCCTTTTTATGTTTTGCTTCATAGCATAGGTAACTGAAATCATATGCCATATTGAGCTTTCATCTTTGACTTTCACATTTTCGAATTGTCAGATTCTTGGGTCTATTGTGTGTGTGTGTTTTAAGTGTTTCACTAATTCAGTTTTACTTATTTTCTCAAGATGAGGAAAGACTGATGGGAGCTAATTATGCCCCCATGTTAGTTTCTTTTTTTTGGGGGGTTGGAAAATGCAGTTAGTTGCTGTATCGACGTTAAAGATAAATCTCCTGCCCAAGCATCTATGATATTGAGAGGAGTTCTTCATGCTATGCAAATTATAAACAATAATAGAAAATTATCCATGCTACCTGCTCCCTCGTGGTAATGACTTGCCACAAAACCAGGGAAACTGTGTTTACATAGTGCATCGAGTTGAATTGCTGTAATTCGAGAGTAAAACAGCCAGGTTGATTGTCTTTAAGTAATATACATTTGTCTTGCAGGTTGATACAACAGCATGTTTATGTAGAGTAGATGCTGGCCTTAAAACTGTTTCTGGAGCAAAAAAGTATGTCCCAGGGGCAAAGCTCTGTCTTCAACCTGACATTAAACCCTCCATTCATCCTACTAGGAGTAAGCCTTCACGTGGTGACGGTAGCCGGATTCAGTCCCCTCTACTTCCTGGACTTCCAGATGATCTTGCCATTGCTTGCCTAATCAGGGTCCCAAGAGTCGAGCATCGTAAGCTCCGCCTGGTTTGCAAAAGATGGTACCGTCTTTTGGTTGGTAACTTCTTTTACTCCCTCCGTAAGAGCCTTGGCATTGCAGAAGAATGGATATATTTAATTAAGAGAGATCGAGATGGGAAAATCTCCTGGCATGCCTTTGACCCCGTATACCAGCTATGGCAACCCCTTCCTCCTGTCCCTAAGGAATATTCTGAAGCCCTTGGGTTTGGTTGTGCTGTACTGAGTGGCTGTCACCTCTATTTGTTTGGGGGAAAAGATCCGCTAAAAGGATCAATGAGACGAGTCATTTTCTATAGTGCCAGGACCAATAAATGGCACCGTGCCCCAGATATGCTTCGGCGGCGTCATTTTTTTGGCTCATGTGTTATTAATAACTGCTTGTATGTTGCCGGTGGGGAGAATGAGGGGATGCATCGGTCCTTGAGATCAGCTGAAGTCTATGATCCCAACAAGAACAGATGGTCCTTCATTTCAGATATGAGCACTGCAATGGTGCCCTTCATTGGGGTTGTTTATGAAGGCAAATGGTTCTTGAAGGGGTTAGGGTCTCATCGGCAAGTTTTGAGTGAGGTCTACCAACCAGAAAATGACAGCTGGTACTCTGTGTATGACGGAATGGTTGCAGGCTGGAGGAACCCAAGTGCTGCTTTAAATGGGCATCTCTATGCTTTGGACTGCAAAGATGGCTGCAAACTTAGAGTTTATGATGAAGCGACTGATTCTTGGGGCAAGCATATCGACAGCAAGATGCATTTGGGTAATTCTAGGGCTTTGGAGGCAGCTTCCCTTGTTCCCCTGAATGGTAAACTTTGCATCATCCGGAATAATATGAGCATTTCACTGGTTGATGTTTCGAAATCCAGTGAAGTTGGTGGAGCAAGTGCAGAACATCTGTGGGAAACTATAGCAGGTAGAGGGCAGTTCAGGACCTTGGTCACAAATCTGTGGTCAAGTCTTGCTGGCAGGAACCGCCTGAAAAGTCACATAGTTCACTGCCAGGTTCTTCAAGCCTAGAAACTGTAAATTGTATCAAATTCAAAAGGTTCACTCTTTTGGTTTGTATGTTTTTTGCCAAATTTCAGGATTCAATGGACTACATATGTAATGTTTCGCCATCTTGGATGACAGGGTTCTCTTCTCGTGTACCATGAAATGTAGCGGACGCAAAAAGTACATTGGTATAGATTCTCTTCTCGTGTACCATGAAATGTGATAGGTGGTGGACTTCTTGAATTCATTTATCTATATGATATACAGAAGTTAGGTGCCATTTGCTATAACGAATTTAATCTAGAATGCTCAAAACTGTTGTACATGAACTGAAGACAAAAAAATTGCACAAATCAGATACACAAGTTTCTGCATTACAATGCTTCAGGGAGCCCCTAAATGCCAATTATTTTGTTCATGTTTGTTTCCATTTCCATCTGATAAACGGCTACAAAAGAATATTACATCGGTAAAAGAACGAAAAATAAAAATAAAAATCCATCTCCCTACAAATCCATCACATCCAGGCACCTATGTTTGCGCGTGCATGTTTAATGTCTGAGATCGTGAGAGGAATGATCTTGCCAACGAGAAGCATTTTTCCTTCTGCCTTTTGAATTCATTGTATCGCAGGAAGAAATAACCAAGATAATCAAAGTTGATCGGAGAAAACTTTGCCTACACACGATTGACCGTAATATATTTAGTGATACAAATTTGAAGGTTTTTGAGGAGAAACAAGCTATAGAAACAGGGATACCTGGATTAGTCCCCATAAAGCCCAATACAAGTGTGAGGCTAACGTGTATGTATTTTCCTCAACATAGAGAGCTTCCAGATCTTTCTCAGATACCTGTTGGTATGGAAAATAGGAAAATAACAATCAAAGAAAAACCCTACATGTATAAAGTTTGAAACCCATTTTATGCATACCCAATACTAAAATCTTTCAATTTGTGCATGCAAATTGACTCTGCTATCTTCACATACCTCATGTGGATTGTCAGGTTGTAAATAATGCCTCAAGAAATGGTACTGTTCATCCTTATTCGGGCATCTGCATTGACATAATGTTCAATGGTGAAAGGTCATCCCATGTGATCGCGATAGTTTGAAAGAAAAGAAAATAACGGAGATAAAACAAGAAAAAGAAAACATACAAGGTGAAGTCACATTCATAGCCTGCATATTCATTGAAGTGATTCCCAATGTCAAAGCCTCTATAATTGTATGATCCATACTCAAAATCAATCAAGTAGAGTTTATCTGGATACTCATCAGAAAAGCAGTGTAAGTAAAGAGCTAAACAGCAAAAAACAATATTAGTTTCATTTTGTAAGTTGAGAAGGAAAAAATTGGAAAGCCAAATTAGCCGATGAAACAAGAATTTGAATCTATTTTAGCTTTTCTCCCCTATCCATGTCAAACACCATTTCAAGCACGAGGAACCAAAACCAACATCACTGTTTTATTTCTGGCCATCTTGGGCACCACCAATCAGAATCCTAGGCAACTATCACAAACTGATATCTGGTAATTGAATTTGACCACTCTTGAATATCATATGGAAGGTAAAGTGACTTCTCACGAGTCAACAATAAGAGAGGGTGAAATGAAGTGTACAAAGTGGAATACCTTCTTCATCATTAACCATTATATTTCCAGAAAGCAAGTCATTGTGAGCGAAAACCACTGGAGAATTTAAAAGGCCAGTCAATTCCTGTTCCATATTTAGGAGAGACGTATATGAAAATATGGATAAAGTTCACTAACGAATCACACAATATAATCAAGATAGAATCAGCAAATGACAACTGAAACCAACAAACTTTCTAATGCATATAAATATACAACTCCTTTATCTTTCAACAACATATCATCGTTGAGAACACTTTTGCATTTGCCATCCCCAGATCATGTTATGCCAATTTATTATCATCTGGATACTATCGAAACTGATAGAATGGTAGCCAGCAACAAGAAATACCAAGTAAACTATGATAGGGGAGGATACCTTCAGCTCAATAATTTCATTGTGAACTTCACTAAATGAAATTGTCTTATATAATTTCTGCTTCTCATTGTCATCAAATTCAAGAGCAGAGGCTGCAACAAGGAGGTGACTCAATCATGAGAAAAGTTACAGATATGAACTCAATTTAAAAATTGATATGGAATAGTAAACCTGCCAATGAATATCTGGTCACTTCCATTCACCTAACATCAATTTAGCTAACAGGAGATGTAGAACATAAAATATAGGAAGCTGAAAATAAAGTAAGAGAAAACCTTTCTCAAAGAATTTGAGCAAGTCATTCCACAGCTGGGGTTCCTTAGAACCTGGAATTTCCACTTGATGAAATCTGCATAGTTGCTTGGCAATTTCAGCAGCCAGCTTCGGATTTCTCATGTCTGCCGAGATGGGAAGAAGTTAAAAGTCATGTCAATGGACAGATTCAGTTCACCAAGAACCCTGAAAATGTGTATAATTTATTTCAATGGAATTGACCTTCTGTCTCTAAGCTTGTATACTAGTTTCGATTGAAGAAATTGCCTTCAAGAACATTTACTTGGAAATGAGGCTCTTTTTAATATAGACTTGACCAAGAGATTATCCATAGATCTAACAAGGAGAGCTTTTGAAGGGTAGAATATTTAGTGGTGGGGTAAATTTGTCCATCTGTTTTTGGAATGGTCACATACAACCAGAGAACTCCTTTTCTTGTTTATTTGATTTTCATTTTCTGAATTATGAATACATCTTGGGTACATGCAAGCACCTTCTTGTGCTTCTTTGATAAAATACTCTACTTATCGAAAGAATATATAACCAAAGTTACCTGATGGGATTAGCGTACGGGCATTGATGAAAGATTGCACCATCCCATTCCCGAAAACTCCAAGCAAATTTGCACCAAATCCTGCAGCCGAGAGGTATTTGATTGACTGAAGACAATATGCAGTGAGGAGTTACAAAGTGAATTGTGCTAGTAAAACATCATCGATAATGTAAAAGCCAAAGAAAACTAAGTTAAGACGAACAATCAATATAGTTAGAAAGAAATTTCATACAAACATAAACAGAAACACATCATTTTTGTGTTGATAATTACATTCAAAAAATTATAACCCAACCGGACCACAGCGGAGATTACAAGCGTTCATATGTTCATATCCCTGAACAAGTCTCAACACCTATATAACTCAAAGATACTAAAATAATAATAATAATAATAATAATAAATCCATGAAAGTTCACAAAATTACCAGCAATTCCCGTTCCCGATTGATGACATACTCGGTGTTAGGCCCATACAATCTGACTGTTACAGACACATCGTTTCCATTCTCTTCCTTAACAGTCACCTTCAGCACTGCATGTATTAACGACCACTAATTCAGTTGTGCACCATAGCTAAAAGACTCACAAAAACTGATTGAATAATAAGGAAATCAAAGTAAAGTTAATTTCACATAATGAGCTATTTATTGCGAACCCGTACTTTGTTTTAGCTTATAGAAACCAACTACAGCACACAAGAAGAAGAAAAGAAAACACTCACATAGATTTGTGATGCCACCAGAAACTGTCCCAACAGAGAAGCGAGAATTCTCCAAATTTGACCATTTCTTAAATAGATCCTTGCACAACTCTCTGAAAATCAAATTACATAAGACATAAATTTTAAAAATAATGATAAATTTTAAAGGATCCAGCCCCCGTTTGATTTCCGATCAAACAGAATAAAATGAAAGACAACACAAAATCGGAATCCTGGATATCACATTTTTCTTCGTTTCCCGCAATTTCTCATCTGCCAAACAGAATTTCAAATCGAACAAATTTTTTCCAGACAAAATAAAAAGATAAAGATAAAGGCCAGGGAAGAGCTGAAGCAAGCAACAGAAAATGAATAAGAGGCCCTAGAAATGAAGAAAAAGATAGAAACTGACATTATCAGCGGCGTGATGTGAGAGAGGGGAAGCGAAGGGTCGACGGATAGAGAAGAAGAATGGATCTGAGAGGTGGAGCAATCTGAAGTTTGCTCAGCTACTTCCATGGCGTTCCAGATGTTCTTCACCCCTCCCATTTCTGCTTTATTTTCAAGCTTCCGAGTTTTCCTCTTAATTTTCAAACGCAACGTTTGCGCCTCGGGCGTTTTTATCTTTGCCACATGTATCCCTTCAAGTTTGATTTTTAGGACACCGCCTAACTGGTCAATGATTTTTTTTAATAGAGTTGTGTGGTCAATGACTTGTATAATTTGCTTTCCAACAAAAAATCTTGTGTATAATCAAAGGCACTATGTCGGCCTTTCACCCGAATTCAACCCCTCTTTGTAAACAAGAGTAAGGATAACGATAATATATTAAACACATATGCTACATGAATAGTTAAACCGAATCATAACCATTTTAATCCCTTCATAATTCAAATACTTGGAAGTCATCAACACAACCTTGTCTTTATGCGAGGTTACTGGCCAAGTAACACGAGCAAGACGTCATTTATATAACATTACAACAAGAGCCTTTTGGGATTGTCAAAATCGAAGGATGGTGACGATGCCAAGTGTGAAATTCCAGATGGCACGATATTTGTTGAACTGTCGGGCCATTATCTTATTAATGGGCCTGGTCAAGGATTTGGGTTTGATTGATTGGAATTGAAACGATGTGAAAGAGCAATAGAATCAGGACCCTGTTTGGATTAAAAAACTAGTGCGTAGCGTCTCCACGCTAACATCATGCAACGGTTCTGTATTTTTATTATTAAATTAAACAGAAACGTGAAAATTTGGGTCAATAGAATTGCACAATATTTTTTTAATTAATTTTTATCATTGTGTTTGTGTTGCGGGGGGCTATGGTAATCGACTTCAAAGCCATTTTTAGAGTGCACCTCTCTCTTATCAACCCCAAATATATAGGAGATGCCAAATTAGTTTTGATTGACAACCTAATTTAATGGTTATCTTTCATTTATTTACCTCTCATCTCTCTCTCTCTCTCACACACACGTACATAACAATTATATCATCTGGCATACTGATCTTGTGCTTTCGACTAATCAAGTCATACACATGCAAGTCAAAATAAACATGCATACTGGCTGAGCCCGGCTCTTTGAATCATGTATCCTCGTTTGTAGTAGGGACACTGATGAAATAGAGTTTTGCATGCTTCAAACTATTCTCTCTCTCTCTCTCTCTCTCTCTCTAAAGAAAACACGTCCGTGTGTGTATGTAGTGTAGTTATAAATTGGGAGTTTCACTAAAACACCCAAAATGGGGGTTGAAATTATAAAAAAACCCAAGCACTATTTAAACATATAAACACACCCAAAACCCATCATTACACACACTCAAAACCCATTTATAAACACACCCAAAAAGTTGACTTTGGGATTGATTTTGGGTGTGTTTCTATGTTTAAATAGTGCTTGAGTTTTTTTATAAATATATGTCTATGATTGGGTTTATTTATAAATTTGTATTATAAATTTGCACCACAGCAACTCT